ACATCGGCGGCCAGGCGTCATTACCTGTAGTAATGTGATAACTGACAGGAACTGGACAAGACTGACCACAGAGCGAGGGAGAGCGTCCCGCATCACATCAACATGGCGGGACAAAGGACCTGCTTTACATACGCTCCCCACCTCCCCTAGTGTGTGTAGAGCTTTACATACGCTCCCCACCTCCCCTAGTGTGTGTAGAGCTTTACATACGCTCCCCACCTCCCTAGTGTGTAGAGCTTTACATACGCTCCCCACCACCCCTAGTGTGTGTAGAGCTTTACATACGCTCCCCACCTCCCTAGTGTGTAGAGCTTTACATACGCTCCCCACCTCCCCTAGTGTGTGTAGAGCTTTACATACGCTCCCCACCTCCCTAGTGTGTGTAGAGCTTTACATACGCTCCCCACCTCCCCTAGTGTGTGTAGAGCTTTACATACGCTCCCCACCTCCCCTAGTGTGTGTAGAGCTTTACATACGCTCCCCACCTCCCCTAGTGTGTGTAGAGCTTTACATACGCTCCCCACCTCCCCTAGTGTGTGTAGAGCTTTACATACGCTCCCCACCTCCCCTAGTGTGTGTAGAGCTTTGCATACGCTCCCCACCTCCCCTAGTGTGTGTAGAGCTTTACATACGCTCCCCACCTCCCCTAGTGTGTGTAGAGCTTTACATACGCTCCCCACCTCCCTAGTGTGTGTAGAGCAAGAACACCTTCAACACACAATTACAACCAACCAGGAAGAATGGGCGAGGTAATGGACTCTGAGTCACATCAACCTAACAACACACCTCCGCCATCTGGGTGTTTCTTGTCTACACACACACACACACACACACACACACACACACACACACACACACACACACACACACACACACACACACACACACACACACACACACACACACACGTGATGTGGTGGAGGCTGACTCCATACACAGTTTCAAATGTAGATATGATAGAGCCCAGTAGGCTCAGGAATCTGTACACCAGTTGATTGACAGTTGAGAGGCGGGACCAAAGAGCCAAAGCTCAACCCCCGCAAGCACAATTAGGTGAGTACACACACACACACACACACACACACACACACACACACACACACACACACACACACAAGAAAACGTTGCGGAACTCGTAAACCCATAAATACATGGCAGTATACATGTGGTAAACTTTTCTATATTGAACTGACGTATTTCATGACCCAGAAAATGATTACTTCTTACTTGGTATCCAAGCAAGAAGCAAATCGTAATGAATTTGATTCAACCTTCAATGAGACTCAATAGATAAATTAACCAGAATTTACTTAAAATCAAAACAAGGACACTTTACTTCTAAGTAAGAAAGAGCCATGAAGGAGTATTATAATCCCGCGTCACTTACTATACGCGAGAGTTCCCATGGCGAGGAAGGCGGCGTCAACTACGCACCTCCATATATGTGAGGCGGTGAAACTCGCCGTGTGGGGAGAGCATTACGAGTCCACACGCCTCTCATACACAGGTCTGCAAAAACTAGCGAAATGTCCACTTTTGTGCTCCACACAAGGAGCACAACGGGGGGTTGTGGCAGCTGGTACGGGAGGGGGGGGGGAGGCAGCCGGTACAGAGGGGGTTGTGCAACCAGTCCTCGACTTAAGTCCATTACATCCAGCGGTCGACCCCACAGGCGCATTCATAAATTTTTACATGCTGTTCATTCAAAACGGGAATTTTCTCGAATATAAATTAATATTTTAATATTTTAGCATATTGTGCATATATAGGCATAGGTTAGGTGTTTAGGTTCTGTTGGCGATTATTTGTATTTGTAATACGTGGGTGGAGCAGTTACAGCGTTGTGGTTCGAACAAAATACGTCAGTGAAGCCCTTGTTCCGGTAGTGTTCTGTTGGTACGTCAGCAGTTGAGAGTCGAGTGTAAACTGTTTTTCATTCATAAACAAGGAGGGTTTGGCGGGTGCATGGAATCACTTTTGGGTCTCTGTTTGGAGGACGGGCGGGAGTGAGAACTTTCTGCTGACAACTTTAGTTCGAACCACAACGCTGTAATTGCTTCACTCACGTACTACAATTAGTCGCCATCGGAACCTAAACATCTAACCAATGCCTAAATGTGCTCAGTATGCCAATATATAACAATATTAATTTATAGGTGAGAAAATTCTTATTTTGAATGAACAGCATGTTAAAATTGACGAATGCGTCTTTGGGGTCGACGGCTGGATGGAATGTACTTGGTCTGAGGTCGGGTTGGTTAATCCTAGGAATTAGAAACCTCCCTTATGAAGAAAAAAACGCATATGAATACAAACGATCTCGAAACACTGGATAAAATTGGAGACGTTTAGATTGAGGAAAGACGAGGATAATTTCTGGTGTGTACCCCGGGTTAACTGATCTATGGAACACATTACTGGGTCGCATAATAGGCATGGAATCGCCGGGTTATCATAAGCCTAAGTTATACATATATTCGACGAGTTCGAATGAATTGAGCTGCCTCGTATGGGGCAATAGGCCTTCTACAGTGTTCGTTACTATACTCTCATGTTATTATTTTGTCTTAGCGTGCCCCCTACACCTCTTAATTGTCAGCGAGGGTACTCGGCACCAGAACTACGGGACGGCTTCAGGCACCTACGATTATACAGTTGTATGGATCAAGAGGGTAAACAGAAATAAGATTCCAGTTTACATAATGTTGTGGATGGGTGCATGGAGAGCACAGCTTAGTCAGACATCGTGGCAGCTTCGTAATTATCCAGGCGCGTGGCTGAACCATACTCACGAGACAAGGTTGACCAGGTGTGTGCAATGTGGAAGAGTTCACCGCTACAACTGGCCTTTCCAAACCACTCTGGAGAAAATGATAACTTTCAACGTGTTAAGAAATGATCGATGATGGGGAGACTTAAACGCTGTACAGATACAGAGACGAAGACAAGTGGGCGACAGTTAGTGTTGCAGGAATCCTGGACCTTAGTGTGTGGGGTCAGGTGAAGGGTGTGATGGAGCGAGGGCGGTGCCAGGCAACACTACGCACCAGACAATGTATACCTGCCAACACCTGTGTCCTCAGGTTATATTAAAGCATTTTCATTGAATAAAAATTCTGTACAATTTTGCATAATGTGAATAGAATAAGGGCGAAGGTGCGCCAGGCAGGCACCACACCCAGCTGTACCCTTCTCCAGCCCCACCCCCACGTACTCCAGCCACACCCCTACGTACTCCAGCCCCACCCCCCATGTACTCCAGCCCCACCCCCCACGTACTCCAGCCACACCCCTACGTACTCCAGCCCCACCCCCCACGTACTCCAGCCCCACCCCCACGTACTCCAACCCCCCCACCCCCCACGAACTCCAGCCCCACCCCCCACGTACTCCAGCCACACCCCCCACGTACTCCAGCCACACCCCCCACGTACTCCAGCCCCACCCCCCACGTACTCCAGCCACACCCCCACGTACTCCAGCCCCACCCCCCACGTACTCCAGCCCCACCCCCCACGTACTCCAGCCCCACCCCCCACGTACTCCAGCCCCACCCCCCACGTACTCCAGCCCCACCCCCCACGTACTCCAGCCCCACCCCCCACGTACTCCAGCCCCACCCCCCACGTACTCCAGCCCCACCCCCACGTACTCCAGCCCCACCCCCCACGTACTCCAGCCCCACCCCCCACGTACTCCAGCCCCACCCCCCACGTACTCCAGCCCCACCCCCCACGTACTCCAGCCCCACCCCCCACGTACTCCAGCCACACCCCCCCCCGTACTCCAGCCACACCCCCCACGTACTCCAGCCACACCCCCCACGTACTCCAGCCACACCCCCCACGTACTCCAGCCACACCCCCCACGTACTCCAGCCACACCCCCCACGTACTCCAGCCACACCCCCCACGTACTCCAGCCACACCCCCCACGTACTCCAGCCACACCCCCCACGTACTCCAGCCACACCCCCACGTACTCCAGCCACACCCTCCACCTACTCCAGCCACACCCCCCACGTACTCCAGCCACACCCCCCCCCCACGTACTCCAGCCACACCCCCCACGCACTCCAGCCCCACCCCCCACGTACTCCAGCCCCACCCCCCACCTACTCCAGCCCCACCCCCCACCTACTCCAGCCACACACCCCACGTACTCCAGCCACACCCCCCCCCCCCCCCCCCACGTACTCCAGCCACACCCCCCCCCCACGTACGTACTCCAGCCACACACCCCCCCCCCCCACGTACTCCAGCCACACCCCCCCCCCCACGTACTCCAGCCACACCCCCCCCCCACGTACTCCACGTACTCCAGCCACACACACCCCTCCCCCCACGTACTACACAATTATTTTGCGAATATTTTCCACAGAATTTCAATTACTTCAGGTAATTTCTGCATATGACTTGCAATTTTTTATTTCATAGTTACAAAATTATATTTTTTGCCGCTTTTGACAAATTGATCACATTTCTCGATATTTTCATACAGCGAATTCACAGTTTTCCCAGATGTTGTACCCAGGTGGTCCACCAGCGCTACAGTCTGCCTACTACAAGTACTCCCAACACACTAGTACTGGAAATTTACAACTATACACAGTATTTATATTCCCAACCTGGGGAAATATTTATGTAGTTTAATATTATACACAAGTGTTGTAAGTTATGGGGAGCAGAGAGCCAAGATGTAGGCAGCACACGCCCAACAACTACAATGGTGCTCCAGACGGCCTTCGTTGTCACCGTGGGAAACACCTTAGAAAGTGGTCTTATAAAAAACAGTAAAGCAAACTCGTCCAATCACCGTAAATGAATCAAACGCACTAAGGCGGAAAGTGAATGACCTCAATGCATCAGGTCTCGCGCTTTCATACCCACTTCCTTATTGTTAGTATATGACCGACATACAGTGGTCACAACGGGTTATTAATATATCTGACTACAGGTTCGGAGCACGGCGATTGGCTCGCACCCGAGTCTTGTGACATCTCAAAACTTTGGCGTATCGTGGTCCACGGGTGCGGCGGGCTCCACGGGTGCGGCGGGCTCCACGGGTGCGGCGGGCTCCACGGGTGCGGCGGGCTCCACGGGTGCGGCGGGCTCCACGGGTGCGGCGGGCTCCACGGGTGCGGCGGGCTCCACGGGTGCGGCGGGCTCCACGGGTGCGGCGGGCTCCACGGGTGCGGCGGGCTCCACGGGTGCGGCGGGCTCCACGGGTGCGGCGGGCTCCACGGGTGCGGCGGGCTCCACGGGTGCGGCGGGCTCCACGGGTGCGGCGGGCTCCACGGGTGCGGCGGGCTCCACGGGTGCGGCGGGCTCCACGGGTGCGGCGGGCTCCACGGGTGCGGCGGGCTCCACGGGTGCGGCGGGCTCCACGGGTGCGGCGGGCTCCACGGGTGCGGCGGGCTCCACGGGTGCGGCGGGCTCCACGGGTGCGGCGGGCTCCACGGGTGCGGCGGGCTCCACGGGTGCGGCGGGCTCCACGGGTGCGGCGGGCTCCACGGGTGCGGCGGGCTCCACGGGTGCGGCGGGCTCCACGGGTGCGGCGGGCTCCACGGGTGCGGCGGGCTCCACGGGTGCGGCGGGCTCCACGGGTGCGGCGGGCTCCACGGGTGCGGCGGGCTCCACGGGTGCGGCGGGCTCCACGGGTGCGGCGGGCTCCACGGGTGCGGCGGGCTCCACGGGTGCGGCGGGCTCCACGGGTGCGGCGGGCTCCACGGGTGCGGCGGGCTCCACGGGTGCGGCGGGCTCCACGGGTGCGGCGGGCTCCACGGGTGCGGCGGGCTCCACGGGTGCGGCGGGCTCCACGGGTGCGGCGGGCTCCACGGGTGCGGCGGGCTCCACGGGTGCGGCGGGCTCCTTGGCTGTAGTGTGCACTTTGGTGAGACCCAGTAGTCACAGCCCCGCGCCTGTGATGGTAAGTCCACTACGGGCTCACCATAGCCCGTGCTACTTGGAACTTTTTGTTCCGAGTAGTTGAATCTAAACCAACATGGCGAGACCCGGGACGCTGGTTCAAGCCCGTTGGTCCCTCCGAAACTTTTATTATTATTAACTATAATTATAGTGTAAAAGGTAAGTGATGACTATCTTAATCAGGATTATAACTGTCGAGATTAAAAGTTCAGTAAACGTCCTTCCCAAACCCTGACTTGCTTATCACCAGTCATTATTCAGCCCCAGCAGCATACTGACCCGCTCTCCAGGATATATCATCATACTCCTGCTCCCCAGGGCTCGTCGCCCCCTGCACCCCGGGGGTCTATAACATGTTATACTTGTGACAACTGACATTTATATTGTCTAAAGGGTTCTACAGCATCTACGAGGCGAGTCACTCAAGTCTTTACTTTCTATACAAGCAAACCACAAGTACATAACCCACAAGACGTGTCAGAATACAGGATAATATCGCCAGACTCAACGACCAGCGTCCCTCAAGGCTGGCAGGGACACACTCACTAGCAGCACAATCAGTAAAACAACACAGCTTTACGGAAACATTCAGTAAAACAACACAACTTTACGGAAACATTCAGTAAAACAACACAGCTTTACGGAAACATTCAGTAAAACAACACAGCTTTACGGAAACATTCAGTAAAACAACACAACTTTACGGAAACATTCAGTAAAACAACACAGCTTTACGGAAACATTCAGTAAAACAACACAACTTTACGGAAACATTCAGTAAAACAACACAACTTTACGGAAACATTCAGTAAAACAACACAACTTTACAGAAACATTCAGTAAAACAACACAACTTTACGGAAACATTCAGTAAAACAACACAACTTTACGGAAACATTCAGTAAAACAACACAACTTTACAGAAACATTCAGTAGAATACTTGTATTACCCGGAGAGCAAGAGTGAGGCAACGACACACATATTTCCATGTGTTGTTGGAGTGAGAAGAGGAGAACCACCCTCTACCCACCATACTTCTCCAACACTCTCTCACGTGCACGTACGCACGCGCACACACGTGCACACACACCACGCACGGATGGATTATTTAACAAGGGTGGTACACACACATGGGGGGACACAGGTGGAAGCTGAGTAACCAAATGAGCCAAAGACATTACAAAGAACTTTTTCAGTGTCAGAGTAATTAGTAAATGGAATGCATTAGGAAGTGATGTGGTGGAGGCTGACTCCATACACAGTTTCAAGTGTAGATATGATAGAGCCCAGTAGGCTCAGGAATCTGTACATCAGTTGATTGACGATTGAGAGGCGGGACCAAAGAGCCAAAGCTCAACCCTCTGCAACCAAGACTAGGTGAGTACAACTAGGTGAGTACACACACACACACACACACACACACACACACACACACACACACACACACACACACACACACACACACACACACACACACACACAAACTGTGGAGCCTGACAGCTGAGTGGACAGCGCCTTAGATTCGTAGTCCTGAAGTTCCAGGTTCTATCCCCGGTGGAAGCGGAAACAAATGGGCTGTTTCTTTCACCTTGATGCCCTTGTTACCTAGCAGTAAATAGGTACCTGGGAGTTACAGCTACTACCTGCTGCTTCCTGGGTGGGTGTGTGTGGAGGAGGGGGGGGTGATTGACAGTTGAGAGACGGGCCGAAGGAGCAGAGCTCAACCCTCGCAAGCACAGCTAGGTGAATACACAGACATGCAGAGTTGAGAGGCGGGCCAAAGAGTCCGAGCTCAACTCCCACACGGCACAAGTAGGTGAACACAGTCGTGCCAACTCACCACCACGGGCACCCTGCCCAACACACCCACAACAAGTCCACTCCGGCATATCAACGCACCTTAATATAAACACTGGCTACCCTCACAACCTCGCCGCCTCCGCCACACATTGTTCACGGGAACTAAACACTAACCACCGCCCAGCTGTTCTCTACATGGAGGACCTGGGGTTTACTCTTACACGTTGAAATACGCTTCTGCCCATTACCTAGATTATCAATTGACCAATAAAAGAGCATAATATAATCCTGGTCAGCCATACACTACAATACTGACAGGAGTCGTCTAGTGAACACTTTATATTGTCTTAATGAGATCTTTGTTACACGAAGTGTTGGGAGCGTCTCCAGGCGCGGCCCACCAACTCTCATCACCACAAGCTGCACAACCTCTGCTAATTTATACATATTCACTTGACACTCTGGTAATCTTTTGTAGTAGCACGTTTTGTACCGATTTTCCTTTTTTGTCAGTATTCATGTCGCCTCTCAGTCAGCAACATGTTAACTCCTTGTCTTAGAGCTTGGGGCCCACCATGACAGTGGGGGGCCCACCATGACAGTAGGGGCCCACCATGACAGTAGGGGCCCACCATGACAGTGGGGCCCACCATGACAGTGGGGCCCACCATGACAGTAGGGGCCCACCATGACAGTAGGGGCCCACCATGACAGTGGGCCCCACCATGACAGTAGGGGCCCACCATGACAGTGGGGCCCACCATGACAGTAGGGGCCCACCATGACAGTAGGGGCCCACCATGACAGTGAGGCCCACCATGAGAGTAGGGGCCCACCATGACAGTGGGGCCCACCATGACAGTAGGGGCCCACCATGACAGTGGGGCCCACCATGACAGTAGGGGCCCACCATGACAGTAGGGGCCCACCATGACAGTAGGGGCCCACCATGACAGTGAGGCCCACCATGACAGTGAGGCCCACCATGACAGTAGGGCCCACCATGACAGTAGGGCCCACCATGACAGTGGGGCCCACCATGACAGTGGGGCCCACCATGACAGTGGGGCCCACCATGACAGTAGGGGCCCACCATGACAGTAGGGGCCCACCATGACAGTAGGGGCCCACCATGACAGTAGGGGGCCCACCATGACAGTAGGGGCCCACCATGACAGTGGGGCCCACCATGACAGTAGGGGCCCACCATGACAGTGGGGCCCACCATGACAGTAGGGGCCCACCATGACAGTAGGGGCCCACCATGACAGTAGGGGCCCACCATGACAGTGGGGCCCACCATGACAGTAGGGGCCCACCATGACAGTGGGGCCCACCATGACAGTAGGGGCCCACCATGACAGTGGGGCCCACCATGACAGTAGGGGCCCACCATGACAGTAGGGGCCCACCATGACAGTAGGGGCCCACCATGACAGTAGGGGCCCACCATGACAGTAGGGGCCCACCATGACAGTAGGGGCCCACCATGACAGTAGGGGCCCACCATGACAGTGGGGCCCACCATGACAGTAGGGGCCCACCATGACAGTAGGAGCCCACCATGACAGTGGGGCCCACCATGACAGTAGGGGCCCACCATGACAGTAGGGGCCCACCATGACAGTAGGGGCCCACCATGACAGTGGGGCCCACCATGACAGTGGGGCCCACCATGACAGTAGGGGGCCCACCATGACAGTGGGGCCCACCATGACAGTAGGGGGCCCACCATGACAGTAGGGGGCCCACCATGACAGTGGGGGGCCCACCATGACAGTAGGGGGCCCACCATGACAGTAGGGGCCCACCATGACAGTAGGGGCCCACCATGACAGTAGGGGCCCACCATGACAGTAGGGGCCCACCATGACAGTAGGGGCCCACCATGACTGTGGGGCCCACCATGACAGTGGGGCCCACCATGACAGTAGGGGCCCACCATGACAGTAGGGGCCCACCATGACAGTAGGGGCCCACCATGACAGTAGGGGCCCACCATGACAGTAGGGGCACACCATGACAGTGGGGCCCACCATGACAGTAGGGGCCCACCATGACAGTGGGGGGCCCACCATGACAGTAGGGGCCCACCATGACAGTGGGGCCCACCATGACAGTAGGGGGCCCACCATGACAGTAGGGGGCCCACCATGACAGTGGGGGGCCCACCATGACAGTGGGGCCCACCATGACAGTAGGGGGCCCACCATGACAGTAGGGGCCCACCATGACAGTAGGGGCCCACCATGACAGTAGGGGCCCACCATGACAGTAGGGGCCCACCATGACAGTGGGGCCCACCATGACAGTGGGGCCCACCATGACAGTGGGGGCCCACCATGACAGTAGGGGCCCACCATGACAGTAGGGGCCCACCATGACAGTAGGGGCCCACCATGACAGTAGGGGGCCCACCATGACAGTAGGGGGCCCACCATGACAGTGGGGGGCCCACCATGACAGTAGGGGGCCCACCATGACAGTGAGGCCCACCATGACAGTGAGGCCCACCATGACAGTGGGGCCCACCATGACAGTGGGGCCCACCATGACAGTGGGGGGCCCACCATGACAGTAGGGGCCCACCATGACAGTGGGGGGCCCACCATGACAGTGGGGGGCCCACCATGACAGTGGGGGGCCCACCATGACAGTGGGGGGCCCACCATGACAGTGGGGGGCCCACCATGACAGTGAGGCCCACCATGAGAGTAGGGGCCCACCATGACAGTAGGGGCCCACCATGACAGTAGGGGCCCACCATGACAGTAGGGGCACACCATGACAGTGGGGCCCACCATGACAGTGGGGCCCACCATGACAGTGGGGCCCACCATGACAGTGGGGCCCACCATGACAATGGGGCCCACCATGACAGTGGGGCCCACCATGACAGTGGGGCCCACCATGACAGTGGGGCCCACCATGACAGTAGGGGCCCACCATGACAGTGAGGGCCCACCATGACAGTGAGGGCCCACCATGACAGTAGGGGCCCACCATGACAGTAGGGGCCCACCATGACAGTAGGGGCCCACCATGACAGTAGGGGCCCACCATGACAGTGGGGCCCACCATGACAGTAGGGGCCCACCATGACAGTAGGGGCCCACCATGACGGTGGGGCCCACCATGAGTGGGGCCCACCATGAGTGGGGCCCACCATGAGTGGGGCCCACCATGAGTGGGGGCCCACCATGACAGTAGGGGCCCACCATGACAGTAGGGGCCCACCATGACAGTGGGGCCCACCATGACAGTGAGGGCCCACCATGACAGTGAGGGCCCACCATGACAGTGAGGGCCCACCATGACAGTGAGGGCCCACCATGACAGTGGGGCCCACCATGACAGTGGGGCCCACCATGACAGTAGGGGCCCACCATGACAGTGGGGCCCACCATGACAGTGAGGGCCCACCATGACAGTGGGGCCCACCATGACAGTGGGGCCCACCATGACAGTGAGGGCCCACCATGACAGTGAGGGCCCACCATGACAGTAGGGCCCACCATGACAGTAGGGGCCCACCATGACAGTAGGGGCCCACCATGACAGTGGGGCCCACCATGACAGTAGGGGCCCACCATGACAGTGGGGGGCCCACCATGACAGTGGGGGGCCCACCATGACAGTGGGGGGCCCACCATGACAGTGAGGCCCACCATGAGAGTAGGGGCCCACCATGACAGTAGGGGCCCACCATGACAGTAGGGGCCCACCATGACAGTAGGGGCCCACCATGACAGTAGGGGCCCACCATGACAGTAGGGGCCCACCATGACAGTAGGGGCCCACCATGACAGTAGGGGCACACCATGACAGTGGGGCCCACCTTGACAGTGGGGCCCACCATGACAGTGGGGCCCACCATGACAGTGGGGCCCACCATGACAGTGGGGCCCACCATGACAGTGGGGCCCACCATGACAATGGGGCCCACCATGACAGTGGGGCCCACCATGACAGTGGGGCCCACCATGACAGTGGGGCCCACCATGACAGTGGGGCCCACCATGACAGTAGGGGCCCACCATGACAGTGAGGGCCCACCATGACAGTGAGGGCCCACCATGACAGTAGGGGCCCACCATGACAGTAGGGGCCCACCATGACAGTAGGGGCCCACCATGACAGTAGGGGCCCACCATGACAGTAGGGGCCCACCATGACAGTGGGGCCCACCATGACAGTAGGGGCCCACCATGACGGTGGGGCCCACCATGACAGTGAGGGCCCACCATGACAGTGAGGGCCCACCATGACAGTAGGGCCCACCATGACAGTAGGGGCCCACCATGACAGTAGGGGCCCACCATGACAGTAGGGGCCCACCATGACAGTGGGGCCCACCATGACAGTGGGCCCCACCATGACAGTAGGGGCCCACCATGACAGTGGGGCCCACCATGACAGTAGGGGCCCACCATGACAGTGAGGGCCCACCATGACAGTGAGGGCCCACCATGACAGTGAGGGCCCACCATGACAGTGAGGGCCCACCATGACAGTGGGGCCCACCATGACAGTGGGGCCCACCATGACAGTAGGGGCCCACCATGACAGTGGGGCCCACCATGACAGTGAGGGCCCACCATGACAGTGGGGCCCACCATGACAGTGGGGCCCACCATGACAGTGGGGCCCACCATGACAGTGAGGGCCCACCATGACAGTGAGGGCCCACCATGACAGTAGGGCCCACCATGACAGTAGGGCCCACCATGACAATAGGGCCCACCATGACAGTAGGGGCCCACCATGACAGTGGGGCCCACCATGACAGTGAGGCCCACTATGACAGTAGGGGCCCACCATGACAGTGGGGCCCACCATGACAGTGGGGCCCACCATGACGGTGGGGCCCACCATGACAGTGGGGCCCACCATGACAGTGAGGCCCACTATGACAGGGGCCCACCATGACGGTGGGGCCCACCATGACGGTGGGGCCCACCATGACGGTGGGGCCCACCATGACGGTGGGGCCCACCATGACGGTGGGGCCCACCATGACGGTGGGGCCCACCATGACAGTGGGGCCCACCATGACAGTGGGGCCCACCACGAGAGTGGGGCCCACCATGAGTGGGGCCCACTCACGTCTTTACCACCGGGTCCATAGTGACTGCCCAAGCCTTCTAGTCACACAAGGCTTCACATACATTCATACTAACAATATACACTAACCCGTTAATTATGATACCTGGTTGATGGGGTTCTGGGAGTTGTTCTACTCCCCAAGCCCGGCCCGGGGCCAGGCTTGATTTGTGAGAGTTTGGTCCACCAGGCTGTTGCTTGGAGCGGCCCGCAGGCCCACATACCCACCACAGCCCGGTTGGTCCGGCACTACTTGGAGGAAACTATCTAGTTTCCTATTGAAGATGTCCACGGTTGTTCCGGCAATATTTCTTATAGTCGCTGGGAGGATGTTGAACAGCCGTAGACCTCTGATGTTTATACAATTCTCTGATTGTGCCTATGGCACCTCTGGTCTTCACTGGTTCTATTCTGTATTTTCTTCCATATCGTTCACTCCAGTACGTTGTTATTTTACTATGTAGATTTGGTACTTGGCCCTCCAGTATCTTCCATGTGTATATTATTTGGTATCTCTCTCGTCTTCTTTCTAGTGAGTACATTTGGAGGGCTTTGAGACGATCCCAATAATTTAGGTGCTTTATCGCGTCCATGCGTGCCGTATATGTTCTCTGTATTCCCTCTATTTCAGCAACCTCTCCTGCTCTGAAGGGGGAAGTGAGTACTGAGCAGTACTCAAGACGGGACAACACAAGTGACTTGAAGAGTACAACCATTGTGATGGGATCCCTGAATTTGAAAATTCTCGTAATCCATCCTATCATTTTTCTGGCTGACGCAATATTTGCTTGGTTATGCTCCCTAAACGTTAGGTCGTCGGACATCATTATTCCAAATCCTTGACATGCTGTTTTCCTACTATGGGCACATGTAACACGGGTTTGGGTTCCTCTCACTACTTCACTTTCCTTCTACTCCCTCTACCCGTATTCTTACTTTTTATTCTCTACCAAGGGACTCCAAAACTTTTACCAAAGCCAACTCCACGCCACGTGGTCCTAAGACGATTGACCGACTTAGGATTCTACACCCAGTATGACGTGACCTAAGCTCTGAGCAAAACCCTAGAGTCGCCTCTACGCTGCCACCACCAGACCAGTAACACAAGAGCAATGATCGAGGTCTGGATCGATCACGCTAATTAATCAACCTAGGGGCTTGATCCCCACTATATACGATGACCTTGAGTGTGGAATAAATTACACGGTAATGATAATTCCGATTCGATGTTAGAATCGGCGCCCAATCCAACTTTACCTCGTGTGGACCACGTGACCAGGACAAGTATACACATAACCAAATGGAAACAATAAAAATGCAAATTATTAACTTAATTTATTAAAAGAAAACTAAAACAAAAATCTAAATATGTTCACTCCCTGTCACTTTAACACTCCCTACTTGACCTGAGTGGCAAATGAGAAGACTATCCCTATAATTAACAATAGCAACTATACCTTGGGCGACCAGCTCTAGATGTTGGGCTGGTCTTGGGGAGAGGTAAGATGGTTGGCCTCTCCCAGTTGATCTTGTCTCCACACTGATCTCTCCCTTGTCTGGTCTACCCCAGACAGAGCATTGTATCCTTCCGCCTAGTCAGTCAAAGTTCTACCAAGTTACTAGCAAGGTTTAAGTTATAACAATTAAACTCTGTTGTACTTAATTGATCCAGACTGGTTGAATTATTTTACTGAAATTAAATTACACAAGCCTCCAACGGCAGAGCTGTTCCCGATCACAAAAATGGTTATTAAAACTGAGAAATAGTAGACCTGTCAACCCTAATGACCTATGACCGCCGGTCACTCCGCCTTACAAGTTAGATCTGATTCGTGACGTCACTGATGGTGACTTAAACTCAATAATTAGAATACTCTTGATGTTGTACCCAGTACTATTATACAATACAATTTTAATACAAAATGAATAAAGGCTAATTTCTCTAAATTACTGAATACTATAGGATGATTCATTATACGCAGCTATGAACAAAGCGTCGGTTATTTCCACCGCGAATTCCCCTGGGGGTCAGGTCACCATGCGGGCTCAGCTTCCCATTCTCTTTTGTCGATAAACCACTCTGGATAATTCTTACAACAGCCTAGTTTGTTACACACATTTGATTGTGTTTTGTACCCTGTATTATGTTTAAAGTCCTTATTTTTACCGTACCTGAATACCTGAATTTATCACTGTTAAAGCAACCTGTCCTCTTACAAATAACGTCGCTTTTGGCCGTTTGCCCGTATGGCCGAATATGGACGTAATTTGAAAATGAAAAAATATTAAAATAAATTTGGGATTTTATTTTCAACACCAGTAAGTTAAGGGTCCTCTGATAGGATAGGTGGGCAGGAAGTTCTCATAAAGTTTCAAAACGGTATGAAGAACGTTAATGAAAAGTTTCCTCTTCTAAGCTTGCCAACTAAGCCGGACGACTCAAACAGAAAACGGAACAGTACGTCACTTTTGTGAGTCGATTTCATTTCAAATTACGTCCACTTTTGGCCATAGCGCGCATACTAGCGAAAAGTGACGTAATTTTTAAGAGGACGGGTTGGTTAAACAACGTGTTATTTTCTGTTGCCCAGTCGAAAACTTTATTAATATCAGCCTTGAAGTTTTTCAATGTTTTCAGCAGAGGTAATTTTCATACTGATTTTTGTGTCATCTGCAAAGGATGATACGAAGCTGTGACTTGTATTTTTGTCTATATATATCTGATATGAGAAGAAGGAAAAGCAGCGGTGTAAGGATTGTACCCTGAGGTACAGAGCTTTTAACTGCGCTTGAACCCGATTTTATAGGATTGACTGTTACTCGCTGAGTCCTGTTTGACAGAAAACTGAGTATCCAGCGTCCTACTTTACCGGTTATTCCCATTGACTTCATTTTGTGTGCTATCACTCCATGGTCACATTTATCGAAAGCCTTTGCGAAGTCCGTGTATATCACACCAGCATTCTGTTTTTCTTCTAATGCCTCAGTGACTTTGTCGTAGTGATCAAGTAGCTGTGAGAGGCACGATCTTCCCGCTCGAAATCCATGTTGGCCTGGGTTGTGAAGGTCATTGGTCTCCATGAAATTGGTCACTCTCTCAAATACTTTTATTATGTGAGACGTTAGTGTAACTGGTCTATAATTCTTTGCCAATGTTTTGCTACCACCCAGGTGTAGAGGGGGCTATGTCTGCTACTTTAAGTGCATCTGGTATCTCCCCCGTGTCCAAGCTCTTCCTCCACACTATGCTGAGTGCCTGTGCTACCGGCACTTTGCATTTCTTTATAAATATTGAATTCCATGAATCTGGACCCGGGACCGAGTGCATGGACATGTTTTCAATTTTTCTTTCAAAGTCTAGTACGCTCGTGTTGATATCAGTTATATTTACAGGGGGTTTGGGTATCTCGCATAAAGAAATTGTCTGGATCTTCCACTTTCATGTTGTTTATTGGAGTGCTAAACATGTCCTCATACTGCTTTTTTTTAGGATTTCACTAATGTCTTTGTCATCCTCCGTGTATGAACCTTCACTTGTACGAATAGGTCCAATACTGGCAGTGGTTTTTGCTTTTGATTTCGCATATGTGAAGAAGTATTTTGGATTTTTATTTCCTGAATTGCTTTCTATTCTAACTGCCTTTCTTCAGTTTGATATGAGTGTTTCAATTTGAGATGGTTTAGTGACATTAATAATGTTAACCGTTTAATTACGGTATAAGCAAGCTCAATGATTATAACACCCCCAATTTTGCGTGAAAGGAATTTTTACTGATGATATTAAATTAAACATAATCCACATACTCAGCCGTTGCGAGTGACACCTGGTGCCAGCACGTGCACGTGCACATACACACACACACACACACACACACACACACACACACACTGTAACATACACGCAGTACACCTCTCACCATCTTCAACAGGACCATAACATCTGTACTTCTATTACACCTGTTACCGTCTTCATCAGATCTACAACACGTGAATCTATCACAGATGCCGCCATCTTCAATAGACCCAAAACACCTATATATATATATATATATTACATATTTAAATAGCGCAAGAATTTAATTACCATATAAGCACGTGGAGTCAACAATTCATGCTTAATTAAGGAAAATATATCACTTTTACACTGGACTGTAAATTCTGTGGCTTGGTAAATTTGGAGTTGAATTACATACGACATGTTAGCGCCCGCCACCTTCATATTATAAATAATATTAGTTCTGTGCTTACAATGTAAGTACCTTTAACTATCGTGGTTAACGTTATTGGTGGTCAAATAATTAACATTAACATGTTTAATATCTCGCCACAACTTTAATTCATGAATGATGATGCACACGTGACTGGTCGGTGCAGTGTTAATAAGGTCAACATCTGTGGTTGACCTTATTAACAGTTCACCGTGAACAGTATTAATAACGTCTACGTCATGTTATAGTTCAGGATCATTCTTGAAGTCTCTACCTGATGAAGACGGCGCCGAGATGGTGTGTGTGTGTGTGTGTGTGTGTGTGTGTGTGTGTGTGTGTGTGTGTGTGTGTGTGTGTGTGTGTGGTGGGTGGTGTGTGTGGTGGGTGGTGTGTGTGTGGTGGGTGTGTGTGTGTGGTGGGTGTGTGTGTGTGGTGTGTGTGTGGTGGGTGTGTGTGTGTGGTGTGTGTGTGGTGGGTTGTGTGTGTGGTGGGTGTGTGTGTGGTGGGTGTCTGTGTGGTGGGTGTGTGTGTGGTGGGTGTGTGTGTGGTGGGTGTGTGTGTGGTGGGTGTGTGTGTGGTGGGTGTGTGTGTGTGTGTGGTGTGTGTGTGTGTGTGTGGTGTGTGTGTGTGTGGTGTGTGTGTGTGGGGTGTGTGTGTGTGTGTGTGTGTGTGTGTGGTGTGTGTGTGTGTGTGTGTGTGTGTGTGTGTGTGTGTGTGTGTGTGTGTGTGTGTGTGTGTGGGGTGTGTGTGGGGTGTGTGTGTGGGGTGTGTGTGGGGT